GCTCCAAAACAAAATTTGGTGCAAAAGCGTAAAGTGAAATTTAAGACTGAAAATAAACGTAAATACATAAATAAATACAAACAGATGTACATATGTATGTATGCACAGTCTTTAATGTGGTTCTTATTTTAAAACAGTGATGATTTTTTCTGCGCCAAGCCTCAGTTTAATTTCGTTACACTCGACTGTGTCCACCTTATCTTTGGATGCGCAAAAAAAACTGTACTTATTACGTAAATTACAAAAGTATGTACATATAACATACTACATATTTTAATTACTTATTACAGGAAGGCAGAGAAGAAGGGCACTGCTCAATGGCGACGCAGGTGGCGCATTTGATGACGAAGAGCCCTGCCGAATGCATAGAGACGATCCTCACGTCCCACCTTTCAGCCAAGACGAGTTGAGAAGAGCACTAATAAAGCTTAAATACATCGTATCGCGACGGTATACCGTCTGTGATGTTGTTTAAATCCAGCGACGAAGAGCTCGTTAAGCGCATATACCAGCTGTCAAGCCCGATTCGGTCCGATGAATATACAGTTATGTGGAAAATAATAGCAACAGGATATTTTGACCAGTTTTGGCAGTTTTTATACCCGAGCGCACTTCTGCACAATGGTATTATAACTTTGTTCGAATAACGGTTGTTTGTAACAGCCAAAACGAATCGAGAAAGAAAATTCGATTAAGCCATGTCTGTCTGTCCGTCCGTCCGTCTGTTCGTGTACTCGATAACCTGAGCAAAAATTGAGATATCTCAACGAAATTTGGTATGTAGGTTGCCCTACAAGGTAGGTTGGTATTGAAAATGGGCGAAATCGGACTGTAAACACGCCTACTTTCCATATAACGGTATTTTCGAAAAATGTAAAAACTGCAAAATTTCAGTAGGTATCTAAATATTAGATGCAAATTATTGAAAATTAGTATTTGTGGTAGAATTGTGGTAAATTATAAAAAACAAAAAATAATATTGTTATGAAATTTTTAGATAATGGGCGTGACCCCGCCCACTTATTATGAAATGCTGTATCTCAGTAGCCACTTCACCAATCCTTACCGAACTCGGTACGAGGCTTGGGTAGGATCCAGCTAAGAAATCTGTTGAAAATCTTTGAAATCGGGCAATAACCACGCCCACCTGCCACAGAAACACAAAAACTGCTATAAATCCGTAACTACTGGAGCTAATTCACTTAGAATCGATGGCTGCAATAACCACTTAGCAGCATTAGAATATTATAAACTATTGGAAAGTGGGCGTGGCGCCGCCCACTTATAACCACCAAACTCGGTGCACTTAATAACCTTGGTACGGAAAAGCAATTTGTGGAAAATTATTCAAATCGGACTAAAATTATACCCGCTCCCCATATAACGGAAATTTCAGAAATACAAAAACTCCGATATTTCAATAGCTGAGGACGCTAATTTATTTCAAGTTAATAGTTACAACAATCTCCTAACAATAAATAAGACTGCTATAGACTTCTTCGGAATTGGGCGTAGCACCGCCCTTTTTAAACCTACTAAGGTGTACCTCGGTAACCCACTTAATCGATTTGTACCTAACTAGGTTCAATTATGTATATCATTAAGTCTAACTCTGCATATTATCGAAAACGTTTGAAATCGGGTAAAGACCCCTACTTATCATGCAAAGGTAGTTCAGAGAAAGTTGAAACGACGATATTTGATACCTGCGCCGGGTATATAAAATTCGGTTTCGCCCGAATACAGTTCAGTATCTTACAAAAACCATATAAGTCCAAATTCAAACTTTGTAAAAAAATTAGAAAGATTCAAAAATAATTTATATTAAAAAAAACTTTTTATAAAGCATTTTTAGAAATCTAAGTATACAGTTTTATAGCCCATTAAGTTCTAGCTAAGAATTGATATGAAAGAAAATGCGTGACACCGTCAGCAAAAATATAGATTATCGATTTCTTAACCACTTAAGGGGCTATGAAACTGCGTACTTAAATTTTTTCTAAAAATTCTAAATAAAGTTTGTTTAATTTCTCTAATTTTTCTACAAAGTTTGAAATAAGGACTTATATGGTTTTTGTCAGATAACGAGCTTTATTATTTTATAAAGAAAAAAAAAACAAATAATAAACACACTAATAAATTAAAAATGACCAAAACTGGTTAATATGTCGTGTTCCTATTATTTTTCTCATGACTATATGTACGCAAACTGGGCTCTAGTGTACTCTGCCTGCAGGAAGATGGAATGGCGAAATGTATGCGCTTTGAAATGAAACGGGCATACGATAGCCAGGCTGCCCACGAGTATAATGGTCATATCAAGTGGAGAAGGAAGTTAGTACAATAGTTATGAAAAACTTGCGTAACTTTGCAAAGGATAGAGGCAATTTTGGGAAGTTTTTTGGTCTCCGCATCAGTGGTTTATGTGGCGCTGACAAGAATGCTTCCAAATACTGGCTGACATGGAGTGAAGTCATTGGAAATTAAGTCCAACAGATCACCATATCTCTAGATATATATGTATATGGCAGGAATACCGGAACAATGTTAAACACAGATGGATCTATTTCCATACATATATTATAGGTAGCTGCAAAGGATGGTTCTGAAGCAAACGGAAATACAGCGGGTAAAGTCCAGATGAATTCAACTTTAACGATCTGCATGTGGGCTAGAAATGGCGTAGAGCTTTGTGATCAAACAATCTTCCCACAAAATAATGGGCAGTAATATTGGGAGCGGAACGGCATATGAAGGTATCGGTTTGGGGTTGAAGTTTCACAATGTCAGCTGGGCTTTCAATGCTTCTCTTCATAAAAACAATCTATTTAAATATGCACATACTTAATCTGTACTACTAAGTATTTGCACTTGTTCTAGGTAGTAGTCATGTTTGTCACAAAGAAATACATACGTATAATACTTAAGTAAATTAATAAATTTAGCTGCCATAATCGATTGTGTTTGAGTTTGGATAATTTATTAGACACTGAAAATTATAAATCTGATTAGGGTACATAATTTATTAAAATATATTTACATACATACATACATATATTAATATGTACATACATGTGTATCTTCTTTTCTTTTCTGTCCAAGCTGACAATATTTTTGTTAAGAAAAACCACCTACATACATACATACTTAAAGTCAGCTAAATACACAACAACTATGTATAAACAAAAAGTAAATATGCCAGTTTGTGATAGGAAGACCGTGAATTAGTTATTTGCCGATATTGGTTGATGTCTAGCGTAGTCACAAGCGTTTCAAATATATATGTATATCCATTCATACATACATATGCATGTATACTTAGAAACTCAAGCATTCATATGTATATGATCAAATGTTTGTAAAACTGTGCAATGTATTCGTATTTGAATAGAAAGATTGAGTCCAGCATTTTTACCGATGTGGTTTGTAATTTGAAATATCCGGTACTTAAATATCTTAAAATACTTTTGGCAGTGCATTATACTACATACTTACATACGAAAATTGCTAACAAGTGTTCTCAGAATGTTTATAACAATCTGTAGTAGCGATGTAGTGTGTATGTATATGTGTACATTAAACCGCCTCACGCTCCATACAAAAAAAAAAATCGGTTCTGCTTCCACAAGAAAATTATAAAATGTAAAGCTGATCGCGTTTGAAAGGCCTTTCAATCTGCCGCAAATTTATATCGGAAACTTTTCTCCAAGAAAACGGTCTATGAAAAGAGAAATGTGAATGCAAGTTATTTGAGCTAAATATTTTTCAATAATTCTTTTAACCCTTTCGATAAATTAATCTATTTCGACCCAAAAAATTTCAGTGCCTAATGGAAATTCGCAATAAGATAGTTGAAAGTCTTTTGTAAGTAAATTGAAAGAAAGTAGTTTGAAAGATTTTGTTTATCGAACCATTCGCAGATTTTTTTTTAGAGTTTAATTTAATTTTATTATTTTTATTGATATTTTTCTTCTTTATATTTAATTTCTAGAATTGATTGTTTTAAAAAAGAAAAACATTTTGTGTTTTATTTAACTTTTAAAAACATTTTTTTTGCTTTTTAAGCGCATTCCTTTCTTTCATTTTATTTTAGTTTTATTTTGTTTTAATTTAAACTTTATTGCTTTAAAGGGAAGAATATTATTTTAATTAAATTTAATTTTTAAGAACATATTTTATTGATTTATTCTTCTTTTTATTTTTTTAATATTTATTAATTTTAAGATTGTTAAGATTTTAAGATTTTTAGTAACAATCATAATTTTTGCTTCGTTTAACTTTTAGAAACTTAAATTATATTTTTTTTGTAGTTGTTTTTAATAATTTATTTAGTTTTTTTTACTAATTCATTCATTTTTTATTTTTTTATTAAATTTTCTTTTAATTTTACGTTTTTATTGTTTTAGAAAGTAATATTTATATTTTTGTTAATTTGATTTATTTTTTAAAAGACTATTGCTAAAAGACATACAAAATAACGTATCCACGTTAGCAGAGTTTTAAATTAGTCTTTCGAAAGTCAAAAAAGTGCTTTCAGTATAATTGCCAGACTTTTGTTTTTCGAAAGGCCGTGGTGAGTTTACACGAATTTTCAACGCGCTTCATCTCAATAAGGGGCAACAAAAGAGAAAGTTTTATGATGCTCATGGACAAGCAGAAACTTTTTACGTGAGCCAGCCTAATGTTCATATGTATGTATGTCAGTATGTATGCCTATTTGAAAATACGAACTCGTGTGAATAACACACTTGTTTGTGTAAAAAAGATGCGTTAGAAATCCACTTATGTACATACACACATACATAGTACACAGATATGGAGGCACATATACAAATATGTATGTATGTATCTATTTGAAAAATTCTAACAGACATTTGTAAGAAAAGCTTCATGTGATTTGGGGAAAGACCTCTTTATAAATCACACTGTGACTCACTGCGGGTAGTCCAAGAATTTCTGAAAGTTATTTAATCACTGTTATTTATTATGTTAGCGCGTACCTTTGTGGCATGATGAACACTGCTTTGGTTTGTTATTTTTTTGCAATTTTTGTAATTTATTAGGTGTTTAAACCTAAACAAAAATCGTGGGAAACGAGCACGTAAAATTGATTTTCAATCGCTACAGGTCTATTGAACCGCAGAAATACTACCGATCGACAACAAAAAGCGCTAACGCTTACGAGTATATGATAAGCTCGCAACGGCTGTGATCACGGAATGTCCAAAGCGTACTAAATGAATTAAGCAACTGATTGCAACGAATTGAAATGAGTTACGGCAAAGCTTCTACATAGTGACGATCGCAAAAAACCGTTGAAGAACCAGGCAAAAGTCCCGCAGTGAGCGTGCAAGCTAAGCTGAGAGAGTTAACGGCCCAATGAAACGACGAAGAACTTAACCGCTCTATAGGTGTCGGTATACACGAGAATGTTTCGTCGCGAAGATTGGTTGATGGGGGACAGTTGGAGAAGACGACGTGAAGACAACGACTCAATAGAAACCACTGCATGGCCAACTAAGCAAGAGTCAATCAACTAGCCACCAAATTTATTTCACTGCAATTAGCTAACCGATTCGCGTTTCAAATGAGCCAAAGTTTCCCGCGTGATAAGACTTTTATCACATACACGAATGTACCCACTCGAAAAATGTTCAATAGTTAAAAGAGAGACTTTTTCCCATAGGCTCTTTACACACATTCATGTTTATGGACTCATATAAATATGTATGTATGTACATAGCTTTTCAAACGTAGTATGTGAAAGCTCGCATAAAAAGCTGTAATTAACTTTATTATTTAAGATCATTATTAAATCAAAGGAAAAACAGGTATGTAGATGTAACGGCATATCTATGCAGCCAGATGAGTTTTGTATAGTTGCAGCCTGTTTCCGCCGGTGGCTTCGGTAGCCGCTTGTGAGAGTGCCATAACTAGTCGAGTACCGAGAAATACCTGGCATCAGCTTTTTTCAGTCAAATGGTCCGTTAACGAGTGAAAACCAAGTTTTTACCCGTTACCTTTGATATAGACTTCAGGCCTTGACCCCATGCCTGTTTTGGAGCCATAAGTAAAGATTCTACAACGTATTAGTCCAGGAACTCAATACGTTCGGAATAGCGCACAGATGTAAGGAGCTTTAGAGCACCCGTAAAGCGTACAGCGTTCGTGTTTTTTAGTTGAGTTACCAGATTTTCCTATTGATAGAGAGTTCTGTTCCACCAAACCACAAATGTATCCATTGGGGTCTCCGTAACTTACCAAAGGTTTAAGGTTAGGTTAAGTTAAAGATAGGTGTTTAGTGTTGCCAGTTGAAGTTAGATTTTAGACGTTAAAAGATGTCAACGGGTTTTGCAAATTTCAGTAGTACACTACTTTTCAGATACCTTCTAACTTCTAGAACTGTGTCGTGTTTTGGACTGTGCGAAACATCGACATAAACGATGCTCTAAGGTTTCTTTGGTCTGCCGCTAACGACATTTCCGGCACCTGTCCACGTTAGCGATGCCCATTATTTGTGCATGAGCAGCCAGCAGGATATGTCCAGTAAGCGATGCGGTGGCAACACTATACTATTTCCTGGATGCCGTAATAAGAAGGGCGTGTGGTTGGTTTCGCTGTTTTCGCAAATAATTTTTGCGGTTTTGCAGGTCGTTAACTCATTCCATCCAGCCCCGAGTGGCCTAGTCATAATGTCGTCTATTTCGTTATGCAATTATTGGTGGGGTCTATGAATTTTACTTGTCTGTTTGAGAGTCAGACTGGTAGCGCTCTTGGCACTATCATCTATCATCCAGTCTGTCAATGGCTTCCCGGCTGCGAAGGACGTTTGTAGATTAAATACTAAAAGAGGTAAATGCTTAATTGCCGCCTGACTGTCTACGTATAAGTGTCCTCACAGCGATAACCTCTGCTTGAAATATGTTGCAATGGTAAAGTAACCCTACTGTCTCCTGGCGTCCAGCTCCTGGCAGTTAGAGCCGTCCGTGAAAATACCGAGGGATCTCCGGCTAAGTTTTATTCCCTTGCTCCATTCCTCCTCCTCAATCCTTGCACGAAACCTTCGTTCCCAATTAAAGCAAGGTGGCATATAATCTGTTCTGGTATCTATGAATTTTTTTGGCATCGTTTGTGTCAAGAATTTTTTGCAACGTTCATAGGAGGGTGTATACTCCTTTGAGGAAACTGGGTGNCAACGGGTTTTGCAAATTTCAGTAGTACACTACTTTTCAGATACCTTCTAACTTCTAGAACTGTGTCGTGTTTTGGACTGTGCGAAACATCGACATAAACGATGCTCTAAGGTTTCTTTGGTCTGCCGCTAACGACATTTCCGGCACCTGTCCACGTTAGCGATGCCCATTATTTGTGCATGAGCAGCCAGCAGGATATGTCCAGTAAGCGATGCGGTGGCAACACTATACTATTTCCTGGATGCCGTAATAAGAAGGGCGTGTGGTTGGTTTCGCTGTTTTCGCAAATAATTTTTGCGGTTTTGCAGGTCGTTAACTCATTCCATCCAGCCCCGAGTGGCCTAGTCATAATGTCGTCTATTTCGTTATGCAATTATTGGTGGGGTCTATGAATTTTGCTTGTCTGTTTGAGAGTCAGACCGGTAGCGCTCTTGGCAGTATCATAGGCCCGTAGTCATAGTCAAAATAAAGTCGACTTTAAAGTTAGTTGCAGCTTTTTTGACAGATATCCCATTGAAAATTATGTCAAAAAGCTGTAACTAACTTTAAAGTCGACTTTATTTTGACTATGACTACGGGCCATCTATTATTTCATTACCCTCTATTTCTTTGTCGCCTGGTACCCAATAGATATGTAGTCTACCCTTTGCGGTCAGCCTGTCAATGGCTTCCCGGCTGCGAAGGACGTTTTTAGATGAAATACTAAAAGAGGTAAATGCTTAATTGCCGCCTGACTGTCTACGTATAAGTGTCCTCATAGCGATAACCTCTGCTTGAAATATGTTGCCTACTGTCCCCTGGCGTTCAGCTCCCGGCAGTTAGAGCCGTCCGTGAAAATACCGAGGGATCTCCGGCTAGGTTTTATTCCCTTGTTCCATCCCTCCTCCTCAATCCTTGCACGAAACCTTCGTTCCCAATTAAAGCAAGGCGGCATATAATCTGTTCTGTCTGTGTTTCTTGTCCCAATTGAGTTGTGGATTCCTCTATGGCCATCAATTATTTCTAGAGTAGCCGTTGGAGTGGACCTCCACGATCCCGTGATACATAGTGGCGCGAGGCGCTAAACCTTCTCCATTAGCCCGAGGTACGAAAACTTTTCGCGGCATTCCACCACACCAAAGCGCCATAGAAAAGTATTGGTCTGACTATTACTGTGTAGCACCACTTCATCAAGGCAGGTTACTAGACTTCTTCACTCTTTCCTCAACACTGCGCCCCCACAGCAACTTATTATCCAAGACTACTCGCATATACTATGTGGGGTCTTTAATTGACTGATCGATACGTCACTACTTTGGGTGCTTTCACCTCGAATCCCTTTAGTAATTGTTGGCCGTTAGTAGTTATAAAAGTGGTGAGAGTATATCGCATTACGGTGTACCTCTGCATGCCCGTTTGGTTACCATAGCGTAATTGTGAGTGTAGTGCAGTCTCTATAGACTTGTCCTCAGTTCTGCCTTAACCAAGATGCCTTACGAAAGAGTTTCCCTGATGTGAGTCACAAGTTTTCACACGATGCCAAAAAATATAATTTGGCCAATGAAGATAGCCATTTATATACACTTAAAATTTTTCATACTCGAGTTTTTTATTAAGATCCTCGATCTTACCTAAGAGGGGGTGGTTTTCCCCTATATGAACAGCTAAGATCTCGGGGTGTAGATTTCTTGTCCCTGGAGATGCTTAAAAAATTACCGGGTACATATGAATTTTTTTGACATCGTTTGTGTCCAGAATTTTTTGCAGCGTTTTGTAGGAGAAATGAGGTTAGGTTTATGGGTGTATACTCCTTTGAGGAAACTGGGTTGTTCTTGCCTGCCTTGGTTATAAAAACAACCCTCTATTCTCTCCATAGTACCGGCGCATAGCCCAGCCTCTAATAATAAAAAATATCGACTTCAGCCATGGTACAACTTTGGAGCAAGGCTGGAAATATTCCGTCGACTCCTGGAGATTTGTGAGGTTCAAAACTATTGATTTCCCCTTCTACTAAGTATAAAATTATAACGTTTTGCGGGGTGCTACCCGCTATATCTCTCCAGCTGTCGAGGTTTGTGGAGTCCAAGCGACACAGAAAGTTGGTATTGACCAGGCCTTCTAACGACTCCTTACTTGAATTTGTACAATCCACCCAACTCTTAAGTATAAGGTGTGGCATGCTTGCAATCTAGGTTAGGTATTTCTTTAGCTTTCCCAACTTGTTTGTTCCCTCCAAGTTATCACAGAAGTACCTCCGGGATTTTTTCTTTGCCTTTCGCACTTTTCTTTAATATGTTTTAAGTAAGTTCTAATACGGATGTAGGTAAAGCATTGAGTGGGACGAGACAGAAATTGCTGGAGGCAGAGATCTGAGCCCCTGTATCTTTCCAATGCCGCAGGATAGTACGCCACCATTGCCTTTGTTGAAGAGATTCTATAACGTTAAGTTCCCGGAGGCAAAATTCTGGTTTAAGTACAACACTGAGTCCGAACCCAAACATTGTCGAATCTTTACTGATTGCTCCAAAACTGACTCTGGGTCAGGATCTGGCATCTTCGGTCTTCCAGGTACTTGCAATCCTCAAGCGTATGGACTACGTCCCTGGGGGATAGCCAAGCTGCACTTAAGGCAATGGCCAGCCCTCTATTTCCAAACTATTTAGTTCGGCTAAGCAAGTCTCAACTAAATTATCTTGGTAAACATGGCGAGCTTGCAACATGATTTCTAGTTGTTTCTCTCATTAACTGCAGTCAACTTGTTGAACTGTGATAGGCGCCCGTGACAACTCCATTTGCCATCCTGCCATGAAAAGGATGAGACGGGGAACGCCTTTTATGCTTCTGCCCCTGCTTT